CACTCAGTCACTATAGTAACACTAGCCACACAGCAGCCAGGAGCTGTAGACAAATTCATTGGCTCTGCTGTAGAGTTCCCTGAAGATCCTGAAGGCTCAGACCAGGTCCAGTGGCACTGAAACTACAGCACCCACTAGACAGCCCAGCCCAACCCGTTTGCTGGATACTTAGCTCAACCACACTGTTTAAACATCTGACTGTCCCATATGGGATGGAAGCTCCAGGGCCAGCCCTTGAACCCAAATTTATCAGGCGGTCAAAAAGACAGACCCAACTGGTCTTAGACATCATGAGGTTGCACAGGGAGAGTTTGTCCCTGAGGTCACACACCATTGGACTTGAGAAATTAAAGCCAACAACTTCAATTGCTCTTGGACACAAGTGCTGCTCACAGAACACGGCTGTAGCATGCTCATTCCAAGCCTCAGCTAGGCAGGGGTGGGCCTGCTCTTTTAGTCTCTCCAACAGACACTGTACCCATCAGCTCACACACATCCATAACAAGATGCATCCTATGCCCACTGCATCAATCTCCTTCCCTTAATATCGCTTCTAATTCGTCTTGCTTATTTTCCCCAGTCCAGACATTTGTTCATAGGACTTTTGTTTATGGGGCCTTAAGTACCCACCCTTACATACTCATTACTCCCAGCAACTACTGTCCTTATAGCAAGAGGACAACTCAGAAAGTCAAACCTTAGTCCCACAGACTATTAACACAATAAATCTGAAATTAAACCTGAGTGCCAGTAACTTGCATTCAGGTCTTTTTTTGCACACAGATTTAATTTTTCAGATGTATTTTTAGAAAGAGTCGGTTTTAGCCACGCTAGGCAGGGCAGCGGCTGCATGGCAGGCTCAAGGGATCTGCCACTTCTAACCGTTTTTTTTGCAAATTTCATGCTAGTGAACGGTGCCAGACTGACAGCCTGGAAGAATGAAGCTTTTATGCACGGGACAACTATAACTCTGGCAGCAGAACATCATTCTTTTCTTCCGTTCTCTTTCTACTTCCCTGAAGCTCTTGTTCCTTTCTAATCTTCCCATCCTTACTGCATTTGGTCCCACATGGGACTAACCCAGCAGCCCTCAGGGTGCACTCCTGCTTCACATCCTCTGTCCTAGCAAACAGGAGGCAGAAGGCCACCTGGTTCTTTTATGTGGATCAAAGATGTCTTGGGTCAGACTCCTCACTAGAATCAAGTTGATCAGCCTCTCTCTTTCCAATGGCCTTTCCTCACTGGCCTCATTCATTACCGACATACATCATGTTTACCCAGGAAACCTAGAGGTGGAAGGCTCACTGGCTGTCACCAATCCGCTCAGCCACTTGGTTCCAGCTCCCAGGGATCGCTCTGTCCCATCCTTCCACTTGCTGCTGCACAAACTCAGCATGCAAGCTAGTTAGACTGTGCTGGCAAAAACACACTGTTCCAGCTGCCCTATCCTGAAGCACCAAAAGGCTCTGGAGACCTATTTGTAGCGCTCCTAAGAGGAAAGCCACTCCAGGCACTCATCAACACAACCAGCCCTTTCAGCTTGTTCCCTCGTTACACGCATGCCAGCCCTGCTGTGAAACCGTGGCATGCTGTAAGGGGATAAAAATCAACACAACCCACTGTGCTGGAGAAGCTTCCTCTCCACTGCAGCCAGCGCATGTACAGCAGCTTTTCAAACTGCAATAAACAGGGGTGGGGGGAATAGGAGGGACTTTACTGCAATGCAAGGCCTTTCGCTTTTCATGCCTTTCCTCTACCAAAGAGACAGCGTTTGGAGACAACAATGCAAGGACTTCCCATAATCCTTTGCCTGCAATATTCTGATCTGCTGATGAGGGGATGGTCCTGCCAAACACACTGTTGCTTGGGTAGAAATAGGAAGAAAAAGCACAGACAAGGGGGGGAAAAACCATCTTTCTCCATCTCTGGGAGTCCTGGCAGTGTCACACTACCCTTGGCCTGCCTTTGGGTGGTGGCTCTGCTCTTGAGGGATGCCAGGGGATTGAAAATGAGCCCAGCCTGCTATGCCTTGAACTCTTAGCACCCAGACTCATAAGAATGAAATGGTCCGTGTGCTCTGGGTTGGGGAGGCGGGGCAGGGCCATGATATGAGGAGCTGGACATTTGCCTTCCACCCCCAATAACAACGTTTTAATAGACACAATATAAAGTCACTGGAGGGGCAGGGAAGGCTATACATTCTGGATCCACCACTCATACAGCAGCTCTCTCAAACCACAGGAAAGGTACATTAAGGATCAGACACACACACCCCACTATAAGAGCCAAAAAACGCAGAGTTATGGTGTGACGAAGTGGGGGGTTTTCTTGTTTTCTGTGGAGTTTCAATGGTTTGCATGCGGAGGGGGTGGGACTCAGTTTCCCTGGGTGTTACTGGTTTAACGAGGTGAGGGGAGAGGGAGTTCGTTTTGCAGAGGACCGGAGAGAGGACTTGGGGACCCAGCCGATGGCGGGGAGGATGGATACCCCAGAGACCGGTGACCTGGCGACCCGGAGGCCCAGCTGAGGAGACGCAGCCGGTTCTGGCCAGTGGGCGGACAACGGGCTGCAGAGTGAGGACCCAGTGACCTAACCAGCCGGTTCCAGCCAGAGGACAGAAGCAGGAGAGGAGGCCCCAGTTTACGACCCTGTTTACCTGGAGAGAAGACAATGGACAGAGGCAGGGCCTGGGGCCGGTGATCTCAGATGCCCAGCTGGGAGCAGGGGGGCTCTGGGCTGGAGATGGGGAGCAGGCAGAGCCCACCTGGATGCAGAGAGACTGGGGTGTGCTGGGCTGAGGGAGGCCAGGCCTGAGGCCCTGAGAGTTTCCTGTGCTGTGTTCAACTCTCAATAAACCCTCCTGTTTTATGCTGGCTGAGAGTCGCTCCGGTCTAGAGAACAGGGTTGCATCAACCCCTTTGGGGATGGAGGCCCAGAGCGAGTGGACTCCCTGAGGGGGCCCACGGCGAGAAACAGGTGTGCTAGGGCTCCGAGAGGTGCGGATCCAGGAGGTGGAGGGGCCTGACCCCGAGAGAGAGTGGACCCCCGAGAAGGGCTGTCTCACTAAAAGGGGCACCCCCCACGGACCGCACGGGGCCAAGAGTGGGCACGATCTGTGAGTCCGTGACATATGGTAATCCTTTTCTTCCGTTCTTTCTTCTGGCATTGTCTCCTCAGAAAGAAACATGGAACATCCCCATCCCTGAGGATTAGACGGAAATATTCAGCCCAGAGAGACTCACGTGTGGCCTTTAATACTTCATTAGCCTGGTGTCTTACTAACGCTTCTTTGCTGTTTACCGTTAATTTAGTGCTGCTGAAAGGTACTGAATGGATACCGGAGATTGACAGCCCCTGTCACCGGGACAGCCCAGGCAACAGAAGTGCAAACTGCCCCTGCCTAACCGGCCTGACATTGCTGTGGCCCATTCGATCCTTGGCATCTCTTAGGAGGATGTCAGTAAAGGGGACCACACAGGCCCTGTTATGAAGTGGACACCTGTCCATTAATTATCATACTGAATTTCATTTCACAAAGGCAGTTAAAGAGCCACCAGCTGGTAACAACTTTCACTTGTTAATCTGCTCTAGATCTGAATGGCTGATCTAGAGGCAAAATGCTTTATATGCCATCATCTGTCCCCTGTACCATCCAATCCCTCTCCACCATCCTCACATCCCCTGGTCTTTGTGGTTTGTATGGGCTGGGCAGGGCAGCCAGCTATCCAAAGAATCTGCCCTGATATATTCCCGGCAGTAGCTGTGCTTCTAGATCACTCAACATTCTAGAACAGCTCCTCCAGAGTGACAAGTGGGTATTACTAGGAGCAGAGCCCAGCTGAAACAGACACAGCTCCTCCCCACAAAATCACTCTAGGAAAGGGGAGACATTTTGACTTAGCCTTGCAAAGGGTCATTTGCCATTGTTTTAGGAGAGCCCAGGCCAGCAGAATGCTCCTCACTCACACAGGGGTAACAGACATCTGCACAGAGGTTTTAAAAACTGGCCAGTTCAAAAATGAAGAGAGTCCAGCTTTGCTCTGGAATGTATGCGCTGGCCTTGGCCTGAGCCAGGGAGATCTTCCACCGGGGAGAGAGAAACCCCAAGGAACAAAAGAAAACAACCTGACCTTCTGGTCCCATTGACACTGCAGCTCATACAAAGGAGTGAAACAATCAGCTTTATATATGGCTTGATTAATCAGCTGGTGTGCACCCAGGCCTGCAGCCTAGGCTGGGACAAGGTCATTTGTTTTGCTGTGAAGTTGGACCCTAACTGCGCTGGTATAACCAGTTTGGCTGGTCCTCCCTGCTCCCAGTTCTGTGTGTGGTAACCTCCCAGAGTGAACTGCCCCACGTGTCTCTGCTCTCGGTGCATGGCCAGAGTGCTCAAGGAGGACTGAGGGAGTTTGAAAGCAATGGGAGTTGGGCACCTAACTTCCCGAGGCATTATGGGATAGCTGACAATGTTTTCCCTGAATGCACTGAAACACAGTCAAGTAGTAGAGTCCGTGGAGATGCACAAGCAGTACCACATCCCATATTGGGAGAAAAGATGCTTTGTGGCCTTGTCTCGACTGTGTGTGAGCTGACCATGGGGGAGGAAGGCCTAGCGACTTGGCTGAGCAAACAATTGTACTGCAGTGTTGTGAAGAGGGAGGTGCTAACAGACCACCTCCTCTGCTTAGAGGAGAGAAGAGAGCAGACAGACTAAAGTGCCCAGAAAGGAGCAAAGGAAACCAAATCTGAAGACTTTGCCATGCTTCTGTGAATCCACGTCACCTCCTCTGACTGATGGGCCTGACAAGGCTGGGGCTGCCCTTTGTCCCCACAACACAATTATCTCTGTTGGGAAGAATCTAAACACCACCCTGGAGAAGTGCAGCCTTCCCACAATCCCATCACCTCGTGAGCTAGGACTGAGGACTAGACTCTATTCAGAATGAGCTGCTTAGGCTTGCAACGGACACAAGGGAAGTACCATAACAAGAGACCCTTACTTGGGCAATGCTGATGGCTGGGACTCCACTGGGGCAGCTGCTCCTGGTGGCTCTGCGGCCGCAGAGCTGTCCGCCGCTTCGGCTGTCTCCTCTGCTGCAGTGGGCTCTTGAGGCCTGGTGGCAGCCCCATCATCTGGGCCAGGGACTGGCTCTGGTGCCGAGTGGATCTCAACTTCCTGAGCTACAGCAGGCACTTTCATCCTCTCCGCTGCCGCTTCCTCCTCCCTTTTCCTCATCTTCTCCACAAGCTCCCGCTGCCTCTTCTCATCATCCTGACGGGCCAGGTGTTCAAAGTTCTTGAATGCCTGAAAGAGATAAAGCCAATCAAGCCAACAAGCAGGCAGCCAAGCCATCAATCCACAGCTACACCTCTACCCCAATATAACGCGGTCGTGGGGAGTCAAAAATCCCTACCGCGTTATAGGTGAAACGCCGTTATATCGGGGTAGGGGGGCAGGGCTCCAGCGGTGATTTAAAGAGCCTGGGGCTCCGGCTGTAGGGAGCCCCAGGCCCTTTAAAGCACCAGCGAGCCCTGCTGCCGCAGCCCCGGGGTAGCAGCGGCAGGGCTCCAGTGGTGATTTAAAGGGCCCGGGGCTCCCCGCAGCAGCCAGAGCCCCGGGCCCTTTAAAGCGCCGCCAGAGCCCCGCTGCTACCACACTATATGCGAACCCGTGTTATATCGGGTTGTGTTATAACGGGGTAGAGGTGTAATATGCGTCTATCTCAGAAGCAGACATGGTGCAGGGTTTGCACCTTGACACTAGAGGCACTGAGACTGGAAAAGAGACACTAGTTCAGTATAGCACTGCTTCTAACAGGAAACTGGTGACAGAAAGCATGCCTGCCTGGAGCAGTGAGCTGACAGATTCTTTAGGTGACACAGGAATAAGCAAATGTATTCTTCCATTTTCTGCGGACTGTACCTAAGTAGGAAACCTCCAGTGGGGTCATTGCTCTGAGGCAGCTCACCGCGGCTGCAGTTACCCTGAGACATGTACACCGTGCTCTCTCTCTCACAAACAACATTACATTGGTTCTTTCTCTTTTTTTAATCTAAAACAGAAATGGGTTGGTTGGCTGTGTGTGTGTGTAAAACAGTGGGAGGCTACTGGGGGGGTGGGAGATCAGAAGAGAGGCCAAAAGAGGGGTGATTAGAGAAGCCAGCAGCTTCCAACCTGCACCAGGCCTGCCTTCGTCTTCAGGTGCAATCTTGCCACTCCCCAACCCACCTGGTCTTGGCTACTTCTCCAATTGTACCACCTCATCCCTACCCTAACCCCACACTGGTTCCTCCCCTCCAAACTCCCTAGTTCACATGCTCACTGGGCTTTTGTTCTTAAATCCATACCTGCTAGTACTGCTGCCCGGTCAGGCTAGCAGAAAGCTGACGGAAGTAACACAGCCACAGTTCTAGAGAAGTCAGCAGTTCTGGGAATAGACACTGGACGGAGGAGCCAGGCTACAGGCGGGCTCAGTCGGAAGGGCAGAGCTCTCTCGAAAGGAGTGACATTGCCACCAGCAGCTCCCTCGGAGAAGCGTTAGGGCAAAGAGCATGTTAGTGCAGCCACAGCCTGAAACCAGGCACGGCCGCTCCATAAGAATCCCAGCGAGTGACTCACATGTGCTATTCATAGAGACCCACCCGGCCAGCTGCATTTCAATCATGAAACACAAACCAGCTCAAGGCAGAGCATTCAGAGACACGGCTCAGACCGTGCCCTTTAAATCAGGACAGGACCCAAAATCCTGAGCTGAGAAGGGAGGGTGACCTCTGAACTGGTCTGCAGCACAGTACCATTGGGAGCAGTGTCTCGGCTCTGAATGCCCATGGCTAGTGGAAAGAAACAGCATGTCCTGGAAGTGACTGAAGCCGGAGCCCAGAATGGCCTCTCTGGGGAAATTAAGATTTAGGCTACTGTGCAGTGGTTTGTTCTCACACAGTCATTAGACCTGAGCTACTCCTCGGGGGGGAAACATGACACAGTTTCTCATTTAGAAGATACACATTCTCTCCTCAACAGGCCGTAACACTTACTAGTCTGTCACCTCATCGGGCTGCTCCACGTGCACAGCAACTTCTCTACCTAATTCCTAGTACAGGCTGCAGAGTTCTCCAGTGGGGTCGACAGGTACCCTCACCTTTGTGGGCTCACAGGCTACAAGTCCAGGGACGAGATTCTGTACTTGCCTTGGGTCGCGCAGCACAAGCAGGGGGAGGGCAAAGGGGGCTTTATACCTCCTTTGCACACACAGGATTCTGGGCTGCCCCTGCAGACAGCACAGCTCCTAGCATGAGTTAGGACAGCCCCAGGGTCTGCTCTAACTTACAGAAGTTGGCTACAGTTGTTAATGGGCTTCTCTGAAGCTCAGAATTCTTGGAATGACTCCCCTTACCATCTCTGGCTACTCGCCAGCAGTCTCTTATGGCAGGGGCTGCACATGGGGGTCTATGCCAGCCCTGTATTGAAGATATTCCCCAGGGGGCTGTTTTGTCCCCTTTCTGCCATCAAAGCAGCGGGGACAGGAGCTGAACCCCATAATGCAATGTTAAGCTGCAATGCATGATGTTAGGAGCCGAGGTCTCTGCAGATCTCAGTGCTCTATCAAAAGCAACGGCAGATGCACTCTGCTCCATTTTCTGGAAAGCAGGGATACTGCTCTCAAGCTGCTGTGGTGAGAGAGGCAGCAGCATTAGGAGGACGGAGAGAGAGTTGCTCTGAGTAGCTACTGCAGCTGGGCAGGGAAGCACAGAACTACAGTGACACACCATCACCAACCCTAGCACAAGCCCACTGCCTATGTGGTCCCCTCATGTCCCTTGGCTCCTCCCCCTCAGTACGACCCTGTTTATTGAAACGTGATCTGCAAAGGAAACAATGGGTATGGGCTTTGTTTGCTTCTTTATGCTGCCTAAAGCCCTGAAAAGCCGCCTGTTTACTCAAAGAGGGGGTTACCTGGTGTTTTAAACTGTCTTTTTGAACATTAGAAATATCAGACATTGCCTTCCCTGGTTTTCCTGGAGAACTGCTTGGAGAACTAATGAGATTACGACATCACAAGAGACCTGAAACCTGAGCAATTGAGAGGAAAAGGGATTGTTAGTCAGACTGTTTAAAACTCGTTAGTTTGCCTCTATTTTTGTTCACACCAATTTAACGTAGACTCCTGCAAAACACTTGGAGTGAATGCTCTCCCTGAAAAATACATCCTGTCCATTCCACTGGGGGATGAGAAAACTCCCACACCAGTTCTCTGGTCCTCCAGCAAAAGGCAAGGAAGGCAAGGCTTCAACGTTAATAACAAGAAGGAACAAAATAACTTCCAGGTCTCCTTTGTCCGTCATGACTCAGTAATAAGTCACAAATCCATTTTTGCTCCTCTCTGCAGGTCACTTCTATGCTGCTTGCCT